GCATGAGAGATGTTTCTTAATGTCAGGGTTAGGTAAATTATTGTAATTTACCTTACACAAATTAGAATTTATTTTAATTAGAATTGTACCTCAAGTTTATTGGAATTACTTTAAGGTTTTTTTTTCAATTTATACTTTTTTTACTCCATCAGACTAGGGATCATGTGTGTCCTGTTAATCACTACATATCCCTCTCACTGCATAGCCATCTCCTTGTCCAATGCCTGGCACATAATAAGCACTCAATAAGTATTTTTTGAATTAATTTTTTTTCAAAGAAGCAGTCCAAGGGTGGTGGACTTTTTCTTTACTTACAGGACAGTTTAGGAAGGATTCTCTGTCTTTCAAATATAATCTGGGTTTTAATTTTGAAATACATCCTGTTTTTAAAAAACATGCTGACAAGATTTTTGTGAATTTGAATTCCTGAGAAGAGATTTTTCTAGGAGAATGTCAAATTACCTAAATGACTATTAATAACTGAAATTATGAGAAAAGATTCTTTCTATTATCAAAGCTTCTTAAACTATTTAAATCAGCTTTGCAGCAATGGGAAGAATATTCTGACTTGGCTTAGGCAAATGTGTTTTTGGTTGATTTGCTTCATATTGTTTCTCGCAAAAATATGGTTTTTTACTTATACTTACAACTTCACAGATATTCAATTATCAGTCAGTATTTTTAGGTGAAATGGAAAACTTTGAGAGAAACCCTAAGTATCCCACAATAGGAGATTAATACTGTTTAAAATTTTTATATTTTGACTTAACAAAATAAATGTCCTACTTTAATAAAATGTCATTCAAAATGTTTTAATATCATACATTGTCCAGAAAAATTTTCAGTTGATAATTTTCCAACATAGGCAACATAGTTTTTTAAACCTTAACCAGGACTTTAAGAACTTGTATTTTAACAATGTAATATTTCTTGGTGTCTTTCTGTGTAAGAGTGATAGTATTTATACCTTCTTACTTCCTCTGATTGTTCTAACAATACATTATGTAGACTTCTTTGGAAGGTGATTATAAAAAAAAAACCAAGAAAACTTGTTTTTTCATAGATTGATGGAAATCACAATCTTCTGATGAAGCTTTCTCTGGAAGAGGAAAATTATCTTATTCAGTTGAAGTGCGAAAACCTTAAACAGTAAGTATTAAATTGACTTAAAACTGGTACTACATTTTCCTCTACACACTACAATTTTAAAATATATGTTTTCTGTAAAAAGGAAATTAGAACAGATGGATGCAGAAAATAAAGAGCTTGAAAAGAAGCTGGCAAACCAAGAAGAATGTCTTAAGCACAGCAATCTTAAGTTTAAAGAGAAATCTGCAGAATATACAGCATTGGCCAGGCAACTAGAAGCTGCTTTAGAAGAAGGAAGACAAAAGGTATGGGTGGCCTATATTTAGAAACTTTTTAATTAGTTTACCAAAGAGTTGTTTTTTTAAACAGACAATATTTCATCTTGCCAAACCTACAGTTATTGTTTTTATCCTGATGACAGGGTGGAGGGAGCAATTACATTTTTTTCTTTACCTATTTGCCCTTTCAAGCAAAACATTTACATTACTGAGCCAGAGTTACTGCACTAGATAAATGGTGATGTGGCAGGGTAAAGGGCAGAGATGGAAGATACTTTGAAGACATAACCTTCTCCTCCCCCAACATTTTTTTAATATAAAACCAAATTGAATGTGCAAATAATTGAAAATTTTGGTTTTGGTCTGGATCTGGTGAGCTGTAAAGCTCAAGTTTCTTTTGACAAATATTGTTGCATAAATAACTACATGCAAAATTAAATTCCAGTTAAATCCATTAGGTTAGCATTCACTGAGTACCTTCCCTGGATAGTGCTTAAGATGCACAGATGTATAAGGCCTGGCCTTGGCTCTCAGGACACTCAATCTAGTCGGCAGGAACTGTGAACAACAAATGTCTTGCTGCATGTATGTGCTATAATAGAGGGTGGGCTCAAGGTACACCAGAGAAAGTGATTATTTCAAGCTGGAGGTGATAGGCAATGATTCAGGAAGATCTCAAAGAAGAGGTAAATTTATCAGTTTGAAAATCTAATCTTGAAAAGATATAAGGTGGGCTTTGGAATCTAACAGGAAACAAATTTAAATTCTGGCTTTGATACGTTGTACCCTGACCTAGGGCAAGCTCTTCCCTTAACTTTAGTTTCTTAATCAGTAAAATGGGGATGATGAGTTTCCTCACAGGACTGAGTGATGTTAAAAAGCAATCATTTATATTCTGATGACTCTCAGATATATATCTCTATCCAAACCTCTCTCCTCACTGAAATCCAAACTCATATATTCTACCACTTACTTGGCATCTCCACTTAACATAGACATTTCAAACTTAATATGTTCAAAACCAAATTCTGAATCATTCCCTCTAAACTCTCTTCTACCCATGGTCTTCCTAAAGCCCATTAATGAAAATTTCATAAAAGTCAGAAAAAATCTGATATCCTTGAAATGTGGCCCTTATATCACAAGTGTCACACATATATTTTGATTTTCTTAAACTCTGGGAAACAAATTTAAACTGATTTTGAGAGACACATAATTGAATAAAAGCTAAATATACTGCTCATGGTCAAAATATAATACAGATTTCGCAGCCCCACCAACCTTTGGGAGGAAAACAAGAAGTGACTTTATCTTAGGTTCAGCCTAAATGGACTTTGGAAATACCATGTGCTCTCAGATTCCTTCCCAAAAGGAAGAGTTCAGAGTCCCCAGAGGATTGTCTGCCCTTTCCTTTCTCTCTTGCTGTCGTGGAATTTGGGGCTGTCTCTAGTTTCTGCCCACATGAGGAGTGCCATTACCACTTGTCACCATTGCCCACATGGAAGGGATGGTGCCAAGGGCATGGATGTTTGTCATGAGGGCCCTTCCGTCCACAGCTTCAGATCCTATTGGCATCCCTCACTCACAATTACCCTTGTAATTTGTGCAGAAGAAATCTTTGTAAATAACTTTATAATGACCTAGAACTGAGTCCATAGGTATTAGTTTAGAAGACAGTCCTTGCTCCTGGCCCAGTCCCTACCTCCTCTCTCATTCTGTGGCTCCAACCCAGCATTTTTACCAATAGGCTCCACCATGTCTGAATCCCTGGGTAAACATAGCTAAGCTAGACTTTCTGCTAAAATAAGCAATCAGACAAATATGAAAACTCATATTCAGATTACTTTGGAAGTGAATGAATGAAAAACCAATCTGTGTGTGTGTGTATGTGAAATGTGTACATCACCCCCTTAATTCTATCCATCTAAATGTGCAATCAGCATTTAATGACAACTTTCTATGTTCTACCACTGCTCTAGACATCATGGTGAATATAATACTATGAAAAATGGCAATTGGCCTCAGTATGTTTTAAAAACACACTGTTGGGGAAAACACCTAGCTAAGTAACAGAGCAGTGAAAATGTTTACATCTCTTCCATCTCAAGCTAATTTTGCAGGTATTTACACTGCAAACATAAGTATAGTACATACTTATATGTGCTTCTTCAAGATAGAACATTTTAAAACATTTTCTAATTAAATTGTCTAACATCCAGTTAATATCTATTTGGACGAAAGAGGTTCAGCATAACCATGTCAAGGCTTTCAATCATATTTTAAAGAAACTACATTTAGTTATTTTGCTCTTTTAATAAAAATTACAGGTTTCTGAAGAAATAGAGAAAATGTCATCTAGAGAGAGGGCTTTACAAATTAAAATACTAGATCTGGAAACTGAGCTTAGAAAGAAAAATGAAGAGCAAAATCAACTTGTTTGCAAAATAAACAGTGTAAGTATTAGTATGGCTTAATGTATTATCATAAAAAATTAATGTTTAACATGCTTACTATGTAGTTAAAGTGCAAAGTGAGAGGAATCAAGGCTATTGCTTTACTGATAATATTAAAAATAACAAATAATGTAGTACATAAAAAATAA